CCCCAAAACCCCAAAACCCCAAAACCCCAAAACCCCAAAACCCCATTTGGATTCAAAAGTGTTGAAAGTAATATTTACATCTTCTTTGGTATTAAAGACTTTCTGAAAGAACCTCTAAAATTTCAAGTACAACCGGGTTAACTCCAGGGCTCTGAGAGAGGAGAGTGCAGTAATCAGTAATATAACTAGTGAAGTACTTCTTGAACTTAGTCTCTACTTGGCTGTGGCTACAAGATAATTCCAATAATTTACCTTTGAATGGTCACAGAAACTATATTCTGGTCAATTTTAAGACCAGCTAGGTCTTCAGGCGTTAGCGATTTCCAGAAAATCTTCTTAGTTTGCTTGATTATGTTCCTATCGTACTTAACTATTCTTAGCAAGTCATCTCCAGATGGAGAGATCTGCTTATAATCCTGAAGTGTTTTAGGCTCAAAAGAGGAATCTAGCATTCCTGTTTTGTAATATTTCGAGAACTGTTCCCAAATCGCCAGGGTTTCCATTATCAAAGCGATTATTATAGGAAAATCACTCACAAATTTTTTCTTCTGTGAGAGAAACTCTTTCTTGATAAAATCTAATTTCTCGGTATAATTCATTCCTAACGAGAAGATGATCAGCTGGCTGACCTTTGTTGTCTTCAGACAGATTCTAGTTGTTGAGTAAATCTTGAACAACGGATTGAACAGATTCGGGAACAGCTGAATATCCTTAGCAACTTGTTGCCTCAAGTCAGGATCTTTAAAGTCTAGTTCTACAAATTGGACCATGAAGAAATCAAGTGTATCTACTAGGATATCCTTAGCCCTTTTATTGTCCTTATCATTGAACAAATCCTTTGAGGCACTGGCGAAGTCACCTATTTTCTGATTAAAGAAAGTGCTGATGAAGTTATTTGATATTTCAGAATATTTTCCTGCCTTATCCTCGTCAGACTCGAGCTCGATACTTTTATAAGCTCTAAGCATCTTCTTGATGCCAGTTTTGATCTCTTCTTGAAGGTTGTTGAATAAAATATTCTCGATGTTTCTCTTCAAAGCGTCTATTTCAAAGATAGTGCCATCGCTAATAGAGCTATCGCCACCTTTAATGCCTGTAATCGTCTTCCTAATGAGGTTGATTACTTGCCAAATAGTGTGGTTGAACTGGAAATCTTTTGCAAAGTCCATATCTATTATCAACTCACTTATTTCGGTAAGCGTCACTGTCAGATTTGTCGTAAAGTTCTTGTACAACTGTGAAGAAATTTCTTCGTCTTCTTCAAGGACATTGAAAATATGCGAAATTGTCTTTCACACATTTTTAGTCTCCTTCAGAGCAATTTTACAGGACATGACATCGTTGGTTTTCTTCGATAATTTGGTATGAATTTTCTCTACAGATTTAAATTTCAAAATTTCGTACCTAGCATGGACTTGAACATCTCTAATGATTTCTCCAGATAGTTATCCTTCAGTACTGCTATGGAATCGTACAAGTGCATCTTCAGCTCACTGAAGACGATCTGACTCCGTGGGACAGTCTCACTACAGAACTTATTCCAAAAATCAGTATGGCATTTATAAAACAAAGGATAGTTCTCGATAAAGACTTTCTGGACAACTTGTTGTGTGTAATTAGGATTCTCGCCTAGTTTTACCAAACTTTGGCTATAAATCCTACAGACTCTATTCCAGAAGAGGCTGAAGAGGTTGTTTAGCCCACTATTCTGGAGAGACTCCTCAAGTGTTTCATATGAACGAGAGTTTCGTTCTCTTAAGGAGATACACAATGCGTAAATTCTGAGAGTGACTTTCAAGACCTCATTTGAGTAGTTTTTAATCTGATTCTCTATGTATTTTAGCTCCTCCTCTTTCTTAATGAATGTGCCAATATTCTCTTGACAATTAGCTACAAGGATTAGAATGAACATTACCAATGGTCTTTTTCCACATTGTGAAGAGTGATCGAAGAACATTATTTGCGACTGTCTGAATCTTCTCCTTTAAAATCTCCATGTTGAAGAATATTTGAACTCAATTTTTCATGGTGGATTGGTCCTTAGACTCAAAAGCTTCATGGAATCTTGCTTCAGTATTCTTCTGGAGCTCATCTGATATTTTCTGGACTGAATCAAGCCTCTTTTCTATCTCTGTAATACCCTTGAAGTCATTTTTCGATTGGAAAATAGTCCTGTTTTCTCTCAGAATAATGGATAAAGAAAGCGGGTTATGAGAGATATTAATCTGCTGAAGTGCTTTAAAAAGTAACTGGGCTTTCCTGACCAAAGTCTCTGTCTTAATAGAGTTCTTTAACGCAGTGAGATGCTTAATCTTGTCTCCAAACCTCTGCTGGATTTCTCTGACAAATTCTTCCTTCTTCTCAAATTCAGGCTGCATTTCTTGTAGAACTGTTTTGATTCTTTTGATTTCTTTAAGACTATCCCGTATGGATTCGTAGTTATTAGCGAAAAGGTGTTTCTTGATATCATGGAAGTTCATAAGGAATTCCTCAATTTTGTACTTGGACTGGGTCATTTCTACAGAAATTAAAGATTAGAGTACCATCAAGCCAGATCGGGTCATTCTCATCACTAAGATCATTCTCCTCTAAAGCTTATCGGAGGATCTTACCAAGCCATTTGTACATGCTCACTCAGTTTTCAGTCACAGGGGTTAATTCTTTGCGTAGTTTTCTGTGGTTTCCCTCCTTGAGTAGGTCTCCTATCGTGTCTATAGGATATCCTAGAGATATCTTACCAATGAACTGTTCTTCCATGATTAATTTATTAATAAATATTTGGATTTGCTATGGGGTTTTGGGGTTTTGGGGTTTTGGGGTTTTGGGGTTTTGGGGTTTTGGGG